GCCAATTCGCCATGCAATTAATTCAACGAGATCCTCAGCCCTTTCCAAGTCCAAGACCAAGCAAGCACGGTGATGAGGTGTCATCTCTGTTGATGACAAGCCTCGTTGAGACAATGATTATCTTTCTGACGGATCCAAAATGAATGACTCCTGGACGGCCCTTGATTGGGCCTTGCTTTGCTACTCCCTGTGCGGATTCTGATGCTACTGCACGCCTTTGTTGGGGTGTGATGGTAGGCTTGGTAGCTCTCCCTAGGGGGCTGACTGGGCTTGCTGCGGCTTGTAAGATTGGTCCTTATCTTTCTTCATCGTCGGCCACTTTGAAACGACCGTCACCAGCTCAGACAAACATGCTTGGTAGCTTTGATCAGCTGCGATTGAAGAGAGTATTTGATCAGTACTTTGTAGACAGGCTCGTGCAAGGGGTGTCCTCCCAGCTGGATTGTGCTTGTCGAGAGCGTGGGCCCCTGCACGTCTTTGTCTGCATTGAGTGGAGACACTGAATTTCTTCCACAGATGTGACAGCAGATCACATCTAACCCGTGTAGGTTGTAGTCTCCCTTGGATTTATTCCATCAGAAGAAAGACGTGACAAATCAAAGGGCATCAAGGGCAACATAAGAAAACGGTACAGGGTACAGGTACAATAGAAAAATCTGCCATTACGGTCTCGATTTCAATAGACAGACCAAGAATAAGTTTCCATTTTACACCTGGCAGTGCTAGTTCCTTGAAAGATATAGTTCTGGCAATAATATATCACTATTGCTTCGATGTTCTTCCTCGTATTCAGGGCAATCGACTCCTATTCTTTTTATTGACACTACCTCTCGTACAAGTAGTAGCAAGTCATCCCTTGTATTCTAGGAAGTATTATTCAGATAAGCGCAACACGACCACACAGAACGTATATGTGGTTTGCCACGCGCGTTCCGAATGGTTCGCGACACTGGAGCTGGGTTACCGAACTTGCCCCAGGTACTAGACCCATACTATCTTCTCCTTGGGCGCTTTTTTCCTTTTTCTGCACTTGGGTGTGTTTATTTTTATTTGTAATGGAGGGAGCAATTGGGAGGTTCCAGGGTTCACTGTCGGATAGCTGAGCGCTACCCAGGATCCAGATTCCAGAATTACGACGTCCTCCATACTTCGTGTGAACTCAGGGGGACATTATCGGTCTAGTACCATGGATCAACCGATTCTGCGGTCAACAAATGTTGGTTGATTCGAGTCTGCTGCAGCAGAAATAAGAATACTACTAGAAGCTACCTGATTCAGGTACCTATGGAGAGTGCTGCATTCTTGGTGCTTAGAGACTTAGGTTCTTATTAATATGACTGGTGCACCACAGGAAAGGCGGTGTACGGATAGACTATCTGCAGACAAATCATCGTTTGTTGCAGATCCCAATGGATGCGCAGGTGAGCCCCAAGAGCCCCTTGATTGGAGGGGCTTAAAAGCTGTTTGTCGCATCGGAATTCCCTCTTCAACCTGATAAGCGGAATCTCTGAGAATTACCTAGTGTAATTAATGGGGGCAAATAGCGAGTACTGGAGTTTCGTACCTACTCCGTACCCCATAGATACGATACTCCTTTCCTGAATATCGAAACTGATGGTGGCAACTGGAAATGGTGACAAAAGAGGCGAAGTCCTTCTGACTCAGTGTTAAGATCTATCTCCATCCTCGATGCTACCTTAGTATACTAGCCGGCGAGCACTGATATTCCTTTACAGGTCAACTACATGCATTATTGATCTTTCGGACAGATAATCATGTCAAACTGGCAACCAGATCCAGATCCTGCGACACTTTACTACTTGACACTAGATCATCTGGATCTTACAATCCTGGCTCTAGAAATAGGGAGGGTCAAAGCATGGGCCTGGGCCCTGCGGGCGCTACAGTAGACTCTATCTTCAGACTCCAGCACACACCTGAGTTTGTTGCTTCATCTTTTCTCAATCATCCTTTTATTGGATGTCTGGATTCTCGCCCCATTCCTCAAGTAAGTCGGAATGGGAAGTCATGCGCAGCGCATGGTCTATCTACATACCTTAGAACCACCATACAGAACTTCCCCTCACTGCTTTGAGCGTTATCGCTTATCAGTGGGGCGTTTCACGTTACATTACTAACCTACTGAGTACCTACCGACTTCCACATCAGCCAGGCTCTGGAGTCGTCTTTGACACTTTTACCGTCATCGATGCAATTGTAACTTTCTCGTGAACATGAAGGGCAAGCTATCTCTAGTCCATCGACATATTATCGCTGCACCTCATTGCTGCATTGTTGATGACAGCTTGAGACAAGAGGTGAACAGCGTCTCTCAGTACCCCGCCGATGATACAACAGTGGTTGACTGGTCAGAAACTAAGCTTCGACTCTAATTATTGCTAATCAACCATTTTGGCTCTCTGTGTCATAGGTAGTGATCTCCACGCGATTCTGGTCCAATGGCAACTGCGCTCTGATCCACCGGTCTGTGCGATTTATGTCCGTCAGTACGGCACTCGCATCATGGAGAAATGCACCACCCGTTCTCGAGTCCAACTTTAATAGCGTTGGATACACTTAAAACCTATGTACTCGTCTATGAAGCTTCATCTCGGAGCTCGCACGTGATGGATTGGCCCGCCACGATGCGGCATGAACTTCCTTCAACTCACGAGAATAGCATCTAGAGACATGATCCTACCAATGCCCACCGCACAGTGCATCCGAACTAATAATGGACAGTGAGCTCTCGCAGACACCGGTGGATTGCCAGGTGGCAAAAACTATTGAAGTTGCGGTCAGCGGAATCTCGCGCCACAGGCTTTCCAATTGACGAACCCCACATAGGTAATCCGGGAAGGATTGACAGGGCTCACGACTTCTAGTTCCTTGCTAATGAGATCTTGCGATTTCGGGACTCTGGGCCGTTGCATACGTTAAATATCTATCCATTGTATGGTTGTACCCATTGTCGAGCGCTACGCACTGATCAAGTCGTCAATTGCAATTGGCTTTTGCTCCGGTCCACCGTCACGGATGGAGCCAAGGCTTAGAAGTGAAGGCCCAAGAGAGATCACTTTAAACGCCTTCCAGATTGTTGCCCAACTTCGCTAGTTTTTAGAGTTGACTCATTCTTCAACAGGAGTGGAGATGGCAGCCCTGGCTTGGCTTGAACGTGGGGTCCTGGGTAAACGTTAGCGAGTCTTAAGTCGTAACGCGTCTCTTACGGCTACGAGACGTCAGGAACAGACGAGATGATCATGCCACTTCAGGTGAAAAAGGAGATGCCATTTCAGAAAGCTTCCCAAGGCCTACGCTGGTTCCTACCACACACAGACGACACCTCTCGCTGAGTGGCCATTCGACCGCCATTCTGCCGCCAGTATTCTCCGAGAATAGCTAGGCTCAAAAGCTCGTGCCAGCTCACTCTGCTTGAGCTGACATGGTGAGCGCTCAAGTCAAGATGGTGATGTTATGCGGCCAGAACTTGTCCCATCCTTGGACGTGCATCCTGAAGTTGGGTTGAAAGCTCGTTCCATTGGCTGATAAAGTATAACGGGCATCTTGAGCAAGCTAGAAACTGCAACAGCTTAACGGCAGTATCAAGTTAAAAGCTACGAGAGCCTGAAAGTTGGCCAACGGCAAGACCTTAATGCAGCCGGCTGTATTTGGGCGAGGTCGGTCCAGAAAAAGACCATACTTCCATAATGCACTGGAACGGAATTCACCCGGCTGTATGCAAACTGAGATTGACTGTTTAGGATGATCGCTCAGACAGTAGTGCACGGCTGTTCCCAGTAGCTACGTCGCTTGATAGAGTCTCTCGTTTGATCTTAAGAGGTCTTCGTGACAGCTGAATACCCAATCTAGAATCGGAATGCATTTGCCCATCTTGGATTCGGGGCTTTCCTTGACCATAGCAGACTGGTGAACGCTCAACCTGACCTCAGCCAATTCTTTCCATTTTTGCCCGCTGAGCGTTCCGAACTGAGTATCTAAACTGGAGAGCTAAAATACACCGTCGAAATAGATTAACAAGTCGTCAATGACGTCTTTCAAGATGTGGTCGAAATAGTTCTGAAGACGCTGTTTACGAAGCGTTGAAAGGGTTGGTAAATCCAAAAGGACATGGCCTTACACTCCACACTGCTGGTCAAGTCTTCTGAGCCCGGGTCTAGTCTGATGCGATGGAATCCCTGCCGTTATCTAATTAGTAAATATTCTTGCTTGACATCCTCTCCCAGATTTTGTCGACCTCCGATAGGCAACGCAGAATCGTACCCCTCTCTGGGACTTTTTCTACCATCAGAACCCCAAACGGGAAGGGGCATTACTTGGACGATAAACCATTTACTAGGTTCTCAGGCGTATTCTCTAGCAGCCTCTAGTTTCTCTAATCATGATGAATGAGCGATACTTGAAAGACGGACACAAACTATTCAGACGACTCTTCGCTATTAAAGTCAACGGCGAGCTCCTGTCTGCTAAGAGGACCCCTGGTCGTTCCAGGAACTCCTCGCTATTGACCACTAACTCAAGGGAGCAATTAAGCTCATCCTAGCAAGCAGGTGGGCAAGAATGCGGCAAGCAGTCAGGTCTGTTCTCTTTCAATCCATCGGTCTGTGTGCGTAGAGTGAGACCTTTTTTGTTATCACTGTACTTGGATCTTCTGGGCTGAGTTCATGCTGCGCTCCTCGACTGCTGGGGGCACTAATGAGTTTACCCACACACAACAGCTTCGAGATATTAGTACTTCCGTTACTAGAGGTGCGCCAGTCGCACCATATGTCGATCTTCTCACCCTGCCCGTAGCATGGAGTATATTGGCGACGGCACTGTGAAGGTGAAGTAATATAAAGGCGGAAGAAAGCATCCGTATGGGCTGCGAGATTGACAAACACACTCGCTGGAAGATGAGTGAAAGGCACAATATGTGCCGTCTCCAAGTATTCAGTCATATCTGATATGATTGTGAAGGACTGTCCGCGGGATATGTTGTGCTACTTGATGGGGGTGAACTTGTCCTCCTCGCCCGCATAATTATCTTTGGTATTGTACGACAGAAAGAAGTACTCATGAGCCGTTTCATGTACATTTGTGCTCCTCGAGTTCTGGAGAATCGGACACCGACATCAGAGTTAGCTAAGTCCATGACATATCGTTCATGATGTGGGATCTTACCTCGTCATGTGGGAACTCAGCGGGAACTGACAATATGGGTTCTTGAAACTCCTTCTGCTTGTTCATCAACCAAGTCTTCACTGCGGCCGGCCCATGTCGAGAGTTCAGTGTCTGGTAACTTGTTATAACAACAGTGCACCCATTGACTGGTTTGCCGTCAAATACGGGGTGTGCCGAAGATTGACATTGTCCTTGTGGTAGTAGTATATCCCAAAGATACATTCCTCGGTGTAATCGGTGAGCAGTATCAATGGCTCGATGATCCTCAGCATGATAACATGCGCATGCTGGAGGCTCTTTGGTAATTTGAGATATGATTTGTTGCCAACGAGTAGTTAGGTGTTGCCAATCAGATATGTCAGGTCGCCAGACATCGAGGTCTCGGAGGTCAGTATCTTTGAGCACCATCACAGCACCGTTGACTGTATCTTCGACATTGCCACTGGAGCCATCATAGGTGATACCCACGATGAATACTTGAACTGAGGGATCTTAGTTTTTGGCACGGCAACCTGTAAGCTGATCCGATGCGAATATCCCCATTTGATAGCTGATCCTAGAATCAGATACTGCCTCTGTGGAAAGCATCACGGCTCTGCTTGGCTGTTGTGAAATAAGTACCGTATCCTGGATCGCATTCTTCGAATGCCCCAAGGCAAGCTCCGCCGGCTTTCATTGCATGCTTGGGTTTGGTGCGGATTTCTGATCTGCTTCGGGCTTCAAGACTGAAAGGCCGAAGATCGCAACAGGTTGGTCAATTTGTTTTGTAGCCTGTCGATAGCCATCGGCCTGCATGGTCATCCCTCAGCTCTTCATTGAAGCCGTAGTATCCACGGTAAAAGGGGCTTATGAACTTTTATACCAGCTACCCCTGTAGGCCTGCGGATTGTACGCGGGTCTCGCATTCTTATTGAAGCCTCCTGATGCAATCAGGCCAGATTTCGGCTGGTGCCGGGGAGGAGTGGAAGAGGAGGGACGTAGATTTCCAGGGACCTTGGGGGAGGGAGGTGATATATATGTCTACGAAGAGTACCTCTTAGACCACAATAGATATCAAGAAGTGAATGAACAACAGCCAGTCTACAGTGAATATAGTCAAAGCAAGATGGAACAAGAGAATGTTAGCAAGTTGTTTGCCATGTAGAGCAGCAATCAGTGAATGAATCTATCGGCGTCAGTCTCTATCTGCCGTCGTCCCGATATACTTTTGTCTTTCCCCACATGGCATGTCATGGGTATTCTCCGACTCCAACATTCTCCCCGTCTCTCGGGCCATACCACTCCGGGGCTTTTGCTTTTGGACAAGCTGCCAATCAACATGACTCGGCATTGCTTTATAATGTTCTCGGCCTTTGACCGGCTCACTCACATACGTGGGATGCTGTGACTCACTCTAGATACGCCCTCCACAACGCTGCGCTGCAACTCATCGTCCATCCAATCCATGCCATGGCTCCAGTAGACTCCCGTGGAGGGTGGGCCGTCTCCATCTGGTCAGCTGCCCCAAGGTCAATGGACTAGAGGACGAGACTTTGTCAACTGTAAGAATTTTTCTTACTTCCACTTAGATCTCTTCCTCGTTGCTTGGATGAGTGTGCAGGAGGGTATATATCTCCGCCTTTGACGCGCTCTGCTGGCTACATTGCGCATCCAACACCATCTCATTATTTTCAGACAATGAATCTCATGCAAAGGCCCCCGAGATATGTCCTCGCTAGTATCCTCTGCTCTTGCGGAGGGTTACTGTTTGGGTAAGGACGTCACCATGATACACCATGCTCCGCAGTAGGATTGTACTGACAGATAAACAGGATGGACACTGGTGTCATTGGCCCTGTCACCGTCATGGACAGCTTCGTGTCGAAGTTTGGGAGTCAATCTGCAACCGTCCACGGACTAATAGTCTCCTCCATCCTCATTCCAGCAGCTTTATCCTCCTTCTTCGCAGGCTACTTGGCAGATAAGCTGGGCAGACCGACAGGCATCAGCATCGGGGCTTTGATATTTGGTATTGGCGCTGCTATCGAAGGTGCAGCGGCCCAACTTGCCATGTTCATTGTCGGGAGGTGCATTGAGGGTATAGGCGAGGGTCTGTACCTGGGTACGCTGGTCGTGTATGTCAACCACCTTACCATTTCATCGCAATTGAAACTAACTGAAACAGGTACATCTGCGAGATCTCCCCAACGAGCGTCAGAGGCGCATTAGCCACTGGTCCGCAATTGCTCATCACGCTGGGTCTAGTGATCGGCTTCTTCACCTGCTACGGGACCTCGCGTCTCGAGTCTTCCTTCTCATGGCGCACACCGTACATCATCCTCGCATGTCTCTCCGTCCTCTTCTCAGCCGCCTCGTTCCTCTTCCTCGTCCCGTCGCCCCGCTGGCTGACCCTCCATGGTCGCCACGAGGAAGCCGCCAGAACATGGGACCTCCTCGGCGTCGGCCAAGCTGAGCGCGAGAAGGTGGAAGTCGAACAGACCCGACAAGCCAGGACCCAAATCCAGGTCCTCCCCGCCGGCCCAGCAACCACTCTAACCCCGGACCTTACCACACAAATCCCCAACCCACCACAACCTCCCCTCAAACCAGCCAGCCACAAGCTCCTCGACATCTTCTCCAGGGACGTCCGCGCCCGCACCGCCCTCGCCGTCTTCCTCATGGGCTTCCAGCAGCTCTCCGGCATCGACGGCGTCCTCTACTACGCCCCGCTCCTCTTCGAACAAGCCGGCCTCGCCTCCTCCACCGCCACCTTCTTCGCCTCGGGCGTCTCCGCCCTCGTCATCTTCGCCGTAACCATCCCAGGCCTCCTCTGGGCCGACCGCTGGGGCCGCAGACACAGCATCATCGCCGGCGGCATCGGCCTCAGCACAACCATGTTCCTCATCGGCACCCTCTACGCCGCCGACGCCGTCCACCCATCCTCCGGTCCCGGCCGCTGGCTCGTCATCGTCGCCATCTACCTCTTCGCCGTCATCTTCTCCCTCACCTGGGCCATCGGCATCAAAGTCTACGCCGCGGAGATCCAGCCCCAGCGCACCCGCGCCTCGGCCACCGGTCTCGCGCACGGCAGCAACTGGGTCACTAATTTCCTGGTCGCGCTGACGACCCCTATCCTCCTGTCCAAGAGTAGTTTCGGCGCGTACTTTCTCTTCGGCGGGTGTACGCTGCTGACCGCGTTGGTTTGCGCCGTCTTCATGCCGGAGACTAAGGGGAAGTCGCTTGATGAGATCGAGGAGGCGTTCAAGTCCAAGTCGCTGGGCTCGCATTTTGCAAAGGCCATCAGGCCTATTACTAGGTCGTCGGATTGATGACTCTCTTTTCTTCGCCTACACTATAGGAGAGTATTGAAGGAGATTAGAAGGCGACGCATGGATACCGAGAGGAGGTACAACCTAAAATGCAAGGCTACTGTGAAGTATTGAAGATTGACACGGGCTAATTCAAATCGACAATTATTGAATTAGAAATCTAGACTGGCTAATGACTAGGGCGTACGGGCACTCTCATCTCGTCTGGAGTCCTCCATCCTGTACACTCCACTCCATCTTTAGGTTCTAGATTATATCGGGGCTCCGTGCACTAAATAGTGGACATGGCTAGAGCACCGCCGGGGAATATACAAGGGTAGAGTCGGATATGCATGGAGATGAATAAAATTCTGGAAAGCTGGAGAATGTAAAAAAAGGGAGTAATGAGTGAAATGGACTATGTGCAGGAATAAGGGCCATTAAGACTTGGAGGTCAAGAAATCCACCGCCTGAAGTAAAAGAAGTGTCAATTCAGTCTCATTTGCGACCTGAGAGAGTCGATGTACTCACCTTGTCAATGTTGTAATCGAACTTCTCTAACGCAGCGAGCGATTCATCGCGGGGAAACCCCATACCCGTCAGCCGTTGAAGGATTTGGTCGTCTTCCACAGCGTCTGTCTGGAGCGCCCATCCGGGTGGTTTGCCATCCCCAGACGCTGCCGGTTGCGATGCCCCATTGGTACCGGTGGAGGCTTGAGCATTGTCCAGAGGTGCAAAGAGGGTCTCCCAGTCGTGCGTTGCCGGTTGCGGGTTGGAAGCTGCAGGTGATACCGCGGTATCATGATTTGAGGCGTTCACCTGCTGATCAAAGCTGAAGAAATCAGAGTGGTTGGCCTGCCCAGGGCTGCCACTGGGTACTGCCATCTTCTGCTGTGAGGGCGTGTCGAAAGAGAAGTCGAAATCTGCAGTGTTTTTATTGTCAGACGGCTCGAAGTAGTCGTCGTCATCGTCTTCCGCTTCTTTCGCGGGGGCAAGATCCATTCCAGCAAAAGCAGCTTCGAAATCGGGTGCACTGGGCTTGGTACCGGCCGAAGTAGGTGCAGTCGCAGGGACATCCCGCTGCGGCTCCCCGCCAACGATCGGGGCACCAGTGCCTGCTTCTACTGAATGAGGGGCATCCGGAGCGACTGTGGGATCTTCACGGTTTGGCAAAAGGCCGTTAAATTCAGGTGGCATACCGCCAGACGCTTCCTTCTCTGCGCTCTCATCATATTTTGGTGGGCTTTTCTGGGCCTCGGCCGGAGGAGGCTGACTAGGAGTTACAGACCCTGGAGCAGGAAACGCTGCCAACTGAGATGGCTCAATCGGGTCCGTCTTAGACGTCTGTTGTTCTTGGGGTGGAACAGCCGGAGTGAAATTGTCATCAAAACCCAAGGGTGCCTCGCTATCAGAGCTATCATCGTCGTCGTCATCGTCATCATCATCGAGCTCACGGATCGGCGGGAACTCGGAGAACGCGGCGGGAGCTGTACCATTAGGCTTGGTTGCTCCAGCACCCTGTTTCATAGCAGCGAAAGCTTCTTCGAAATCATTCGCGTTCTGAGACTGTGACCTTTGATGTGCTGGACCGCCAAACAGCTCATCGAAGCTGGGGTCCTTTGCTGCGGTCTGGTTCTCGTTGGCGGTAGTCGAAGTATCTGCTCTTGCCGCTTCACCCGGGGCGACTGGAACTTCGGGGAAGCGCTTCGACTCTTCAAACTCCTCGAAGGGAGACCGTACTTCCCCGTGTTCTGGAGTCGCAGAGGGGATTTCGGTGGCACCTGCTGGGACTGGAGTCCCTACAGTTGATGACTCAGGACCACCAAATCTGCTACCTGGCGGAGATGGCTTAGTAGACGAGGTCATAGACTGTGTCTCGGCCAAGGGAAGAACGTTAGGGGTGAACTGCCGAGACTGCGGGGGTTCAGGCACGGTCCCAATTGAAGGTGGCGGTGATACGGAGGGGGTCGGTGCCCCGGATGTAA